GCAACAAATTTGCACAATGGATGCCCACCTTAAGTTCTAACCTTTTTGTACAAATCTTGTTTGCATCAAAAGTATCATAATATTCATTATCCAATTCTACCTGTGAATTGATATATAGTTAATAATCAAAAGAATACACTTTATTCTTTACATACTGAAGCAGTAGTCACTGGTTGATAGGAAGGATTAGTAGTGACTGGTGTAGCTAATAGCTGATTATTATTAGTAGAGAGAGGTACATGATCAGAGTAGCTAGGATTAGAGGAGACAGGAACTTCATAATCAGACACTGGAGCTTGTTGAATAGATACTGGTACTTCATAATCCATAGCTGCTTACGGTGACTGATCATGTGATTCAACTACTGATATTTTAACTGTGTGCAATAGTGCAGTAAGTTATTTTAACGTAGTTATGAAATAGCTGTGTCAAGAAGATTAAAGGCACAGCTTGTATATGCTGTACAAGGTAGTATTGACAATGTCTGTGGCTAATAATAATAAATGAACTATTTGAAAATTGATAAACTGCATAGATAAACTGACTATATGATACATACATTAAAATAATATTTATAAACTAATTTGAAAAAATATCAGTAAATGTTGCTGTCAGCGCTGGAACTGCTTCTTTATAAGGACAATGATGAATGATAGTATCACAAGCTACCATTCCACTAATAGCATAACAACTACACTTGAAATGAAGATCAGGATAATAGAACTTTTCAATAACTCCGACAACAGAAGAAGTATTAGAATTTGGTGTAGCATTACATGAATAAGACACTATTACCTTATTGTCCTACAAAAACAAAATAAAAATTAACAATTATTAAAAAAAAATAAAACCTTAATGAAAGGTATTCCACTGGCTCCACATTGTGTATTAAATGTTGCACAAACTGATGTAATTTCTACAGTACATCCTTCACTTCTGTTCACAATGATATTAGATGTTAGGTTTAATCCAGTTAGTGTAGGCATTCTTGGTTTATTAGACTCAGTTATCAATGAAAGTGATGATTCATTAATAATCTCAACCTGATACATATAGTCATTGAGCTGTTTCAACACATCACTGGTTGACATATTCTAAATAAAATAATAATATTAATTTTAAAATAATGACTTACTCTATTTTGTATCAGTGTGTTTATTCCTTTCCTTATAAATAATACTGACTCCTTTATTGCCTAATAACATTGAATGACATATGAACCGATTACACAACATATGATATGATATATGTGCCCAACTACACTACTCATTACACAGTGTACATGATGTATATTCCTAACATAATCTCTGACATATCCCCATTACTGACAGGGTGTACATACAGTACTTACTGTTAAACTTGAAGTGTTTATATCTACATAGAGTATATAAATATAATATATAAACACATGCACTCACTATTATTAGTATTGGTGCAGGTACAATTAGGCCCTGGCGTGTCCTTCCCAATGTTATTTGTTGAATGATTTGATGTTTTTATAGTAAAGGGAGAAAATGATGACTTTGAGTTATTAGCTACACCAGACATTAATAATGATGACAGTATAATAGCAGTAACTGTAATTAGAACAGTCAATGTGGCCAGTAATGCTAGTATATACTCCCAGTTGGTTAGTTCTTCATTGAAATATGATCTTATTCTCTTGTTTGTCCTTTTAATATGAACTGAATGACTCCCAGCAGTAGTTGTAGTTTTTAGATCAACTGGTAGATATGAGGTGTTCCTAGTGATGTATGGATAAAGTAAAATTGAATTTTTATTTTT